GCTACTACATGAACTCCATTGGTTTTATGAAAGAAATGCCAAATTTGTCACCACCATAAGATTTTGTGTTCCAATCATATATCAAAATACTTCAATGTGCCTCTTGAATAAAAGCTTTATAAACAATAACTTTTCGCCACCACCGTCAGATGTGTCAACTCCGTCAGTTCTGTCACCGCCGTCAGTTGAATATTTTGCTAATATTTCATTATATTTTATATTTGATGTGGAATTATTGGTCACATGTGAAAGTGTAATCTGTCTGCTAACACAAGAATGTGTTTTGAAATGTTAAAAACATCTTGAATGCTGTTAAAGATAAAGCTGAAATTATATTACACAGTCCAAGCTAAAAAAAAGCACATTTTGTTAAAAAAGAGAAAAGTTGGGAGGTTGTATCAAAGCATAGCTCAGTAGCTTAGTACATATAAGATACATAAATGTAGTTTCATTTGTGTGAGTACAAGGTTTTATTTTTTCAATTTTGCACCCTGTTTTGTCCCACTTCTCAAGAATGCTACGTTTATGAGAGAGAGAGAGAGAGAGAGAGAGAGAGAGAGAGAGAGAATATTTTATTCGTATAAACTGTTTTTTTTTTTTTCAAAAAATTTCATTGAACACTCTGCTGTACATTTCAGGCGAAACAAATACAAAAAAATTAATGCAAACCTCCAGCTTCAGAATTTGGTACTTTTGCTCTGATTAACCTGCTGTCAATGTGACTGGCTAAAAGCAAACAGACATGCTCATTTATCACAGAACAAACGACAAAATACCAAACTTACCGTGAGCTAAGTTTTGCGTCCTGCTTATATCTATAAAATCGTGTCAGATAAATCTGAAATCATTAATAGGAAAACGATGATTGTACACATAGATAAAAACAAACTATTCTCCATATGACAGAATGATGACCTTCTTCTTCTGGTAAATCGTGCAGCGAACAATTGCGCCACACCGCCGCCTGCTGCATGGAAGTCGAAAAGTACATTGTACTAGACTAGTAGGAGGCCATTTAAACACTTTATTATTAAATCTAGTTGAGCCTGCCAGTCAGCATGTCACCAGTACAGTACCAGTACATAATTTATGTATATGAGTTTTAAAGTAGTATTATTATACCAAATTTTATATAAATATATATGTATGTATGTGTGCATATATATATATATATATATGTGTATATATATATTTGCACATGCATATATATATATATGTATATATATATTTGCACATATTTAATACATATATATGTATTTGCACACCTTAATATAGAATTCATGTGAAGATGTTCCTCTATATTTGCCACATTGGTTTATTTTACAATGGCTTTGAACATGGCTCATCACAATTTAGAGCTGGAACCAGTTTTCTAAAGAGTAAATTAGCTATAATGGATCAATCTAAGTTACAGATTAACTTGGATTACTTTAATCAATCAAACATAATTTGAACGTATCATCTGGACAGCGATGTCTGAGTGTACTGTATGTAGTGAAGGCTCTGTGCTGTTGAGATTACTCATCCTCCTGCTCAGTGAGGTCAGCATGGCTGATCCTGATGCTGTAAAGCCCGTTGTCCTGAGATGGACCTTTGAGGCAAACCATGGGAGAGGTAAGCCATCTGATCAGACCATATGCCCCACAAAGGTTGCTGGGTTACCAAAAAGAAAACCCAGAATGTGTACAGCACACTGCAGGCCAATAGTGGATAATGGACAAGAACAGGCACGTGCACAGGTAGGGCTCAACCTG